CGCCTGTTGTAGAGCTTGAGCTAGCAAGACAATACTTAATTTTTCATCCCTTTTAACCCCTTTGGCTGTTACTTCTGGTCTTGATACATAGGTTTTATAAGCCACTTCCAACAATTTTTCAATTGTGTCAGCTGAAATAATTTGTGCCTAATATCTGGGGCACTCTGCCCAATAAAGAGCATGTTCACTAAGCGGAAGTTTTCTGAGCTTCTGGCTCCAACTCACTATATTTTCTTTTTTTTTCTTTTTTTTTTTGAAAAGTTTTATTAATTTTTAAAGGGTGGGTAGAATGGGGTCAGGGTTAGAATTGGGGTTTAGGTTAGGGTTGGGGTCAGGATTGGGGTTGGGGCTGGGGTTTCACCAGGTAACATTTTTGATGTTTAGCAAACAGCATATTGTCTGGATACATATATTTAAACAACAATAGTAGATATAGTAATAGGTGATAATAATAAATATGGTTAACTATCTTAGGTAATATTAACTAATCACTCCATAGTGTCCTTTTTGCTAGTACGTGTTCAGAATTATATATTACATTCCTTTCTCTCTGAGTCATTTTTCTAGCCATTGATAAAAATTATCCCATGTTCTAAAGTAAACTGAATTTTCTTTCTCTTGAATCTCTAAAGTCAATCTATTTGCACACTCTAAACTTTCTTTAATTAATACTTCTTCAATTGGTAAATTTTCATTTTTCCAATATTGGGCAAATACAATTCTTGCTGCTGTTAAAACATGTAATATTAGATATCTGCTCTCCTTCTCATAATTAGCTCCTGTTATTCCTAGCAGAAACAATTTTGGTTTAAAGTCTATTTGTTTTTTAATCATCTTTTCCAACCATGAATGTATTTTAACCCAAAACCTTTTTTCTTTAGGGTATGTCCACCAGATAATGGTAGTAAGTACATGGCCTTTGTTTACATTTCCAACAATTATTTGAGGTATTTTTAAACATTTTCGCTAGTCTCACTGGTGTCATATGCCATCTGTAAAATATTTTGTACAAGTTTTCTTTATATGGCACAGCTTTAGTTAGTTTAATATTTCTATCCCATAGTTTTTGCCAGTCTTCTAGTGTACCCAAAGTAATTTGCCCATCTTATCATTGTTTCTTTTACTTGTTCTTCTTCCATCTTTAGATTTAGCAGAAATCTATAAAGTTTCTTAATCAACTTATCCTCTGTCTTTAACAATACTTGATCAAGTTCTGTCAGTTCTTTATAAAATCCCATTGTCTTCATGTCTTTTTCATATCTTGTTTGAATTTGCATGTATGGCCACCATGCTAAATCGATACCTTGTTGTTGTAGATCTTGTCTATGTTTCAGTTTCCCTTCATTATCCAGAATATCTTTATAGGTCACAACTTAATTAAGTTAATTAAGTTTGGGTAAGCAAAAGCTTCCATTGTTGAAAGCCATTCAGGTATCTTAATGTAAATTTTTTCTTTTCTTTTTTTCCCATTCTAGAAGAAGTGCATTTCTTATAAAATGGTTTTGAAAGTATCTATGTATTTTATTCTTTTCGTACCACAGAAAGGCATGCCAACCAATCTGCAGGTCATGCCCCTCCAAGTACAATAGTCTTTTATCTCTGAGCTTTATTCATTCTTTAAGCCATCTTAAGATAGTTGCTTGATAGTACAACCTACAGTCTGGGAGTCCTTATCCTCCACTATCTTTAGCTTCTTGTAGCATTTTCACTTTAATTCAGGCTTTTTTCCCTTGCCAGATAAATTTCAACATTATTGTGTTCAGTTCATTAAAAAAAGCTTTTCCCAGTCTTACAGGAATTGTTTGGAATGAGAAGAGTATTTTCAGTAAAATATTCATTTTCACTGTAGCTATTCTCCCCAACATTGACAATTGAAGGTTTTTCCACTTTTCCAAGTCCAATTTTATTTGTTTTAACAATTGTGTATAATTATCTTCTTTGACTGTTATACATCTTGCTGTTAAATAGATTCCCAAGTACTTAACTTTTTTAACTATTTGAAGATTTGGGTTTTTTTTGTGTGAATTGGCTTTTCTGTTTTTTTGTTAAATTTTTTGTTAAGATTTAGGTCTTTTCTCTATTTATTCTCAGACCTGCCACTTCTCCAATTTTTTCTATTTTCTCTAGCAATTTAGTGTTTGTTTCAAGTTGTTCTTCCAGTATAAAAACTAAATCATCCATGAATGCTTGTAATTTATATTTTTCATCTTTTATCTCGTCCTTTAATTTCTACATCTTGTCTAATATTTCTATTCAATACTTCCAATGATAATATAAATAGCAGTGGGGATAATGGACATCCCTGTCTTGAACCCGTTTTGATTTTGAAGTTCTCTGTATAGTCTCCATTTACAATTATTCTAGCAGTCTGTTTATCATAGATTGTTTGCATTGCATTTATGAAATTTTTTCCAAAGTCCATTTCTACAAGCTGCTGAAACATAAATTGCCAGTTTACGTTATCAAATACTTTTTGTACATCAAGGAATATTAACATCATCTGTTTCCATGGATAAATTTCATAATACTCTAGCATATCAAGAATTATTCTCAGGTTATTTTTTATCTGTCTTTTAGACAAAAAGCCATTTTTGTCTGTGTGTATAAATTCAATCAGAAATTTCTTAATTCTTTCTGCCATTATTGAGGAAATTTTTTTATAATCTTCATTCAATAATGATATTGGTCTATAATTTTTATTTGTGTCAGATCAGTATCTTCTTTAGGTATTAGAGTAATATTAGCTTCAGTCCACATCTTCAGTATTTTAGCCTTGAATAAGATTTCATTGCACAGTTCTTTCAAAATCAGACTTAGTATATCCTGTAGTGAGGTATAAAATTCTGCAGGCAGTCCATCTAGGCCCGACATCTTATCCTTTTTTTGCCTTTTTATGGCTTCTATAATCTCCATCAGTGATATTTTTCCATGTAATATATTTCAAATATTTTCCGGAATTTTGGGTAAGTCTGCTTTTTCAAAGTACTGCTGTATTTTTTCTTTGGGTATTTCCTCTGCCTTGTAAAGTCATTCATAATAGTCTTTAACAAATCACTATATTTTCTGAAGGCTTGATAGAGGCACTCAAGGAAGTCACTGGGGTTCTCGGATGGCAATTGATGAACGTCATAAATTTTGCTCAAATTTTTCTGTTTAGAGATAGCAGTCTGCAATGCAGTGACAAGAATGTCTTGAAAGCCTGTTAAGTCTTCATAATGTCTACTATCATAAATATCAACGACCCATGTAGGGTCAGTTTCAGGACAAAGGACCTTCCTTTCTTCAGCTAATCTTTTTGCAGCATTTCCTACCAGACGCCTTTCCTCTGATGTTAAAAAGACATCCAGCATGGCTTGGAGGTCTGCCCAATTAGGGTTATGAGTTCAAATAATAAACAGAACCAATTCAGAATACTTGTGTAGGGCTGCAGTATAAGAACCTAACCGGACCTTCCATGCATAAAGGTCAGATGTGGAGAAGAGAGCTTGAACCAGGACCATATTAGTGTTCCCCCTTCTAATAGCTACCTGCTCTGTGAGGGGGTAAATCCCCTTATAAGGTGGTGGAGCAGAGAACAAAGCAGAAAAAGATGGTGCTGTGGGAAGTTGCCACAACCCACAGTCTTTAAGCATCTGCTTATTCCTTTGTAAAATCCAAAAAAGTGCATAATAAACTTGTTGATCATGAACCATGCCTCTTTGAGCATAATCTCCCATAGGTTCAAAAAAACCCAAATCTATGGACCCCCCCCTTTGGGCCAAACAGTAGGCATGTCCTGATGCCAGAGGGCATTGTATTTAGTTAGAGTTTCAATTTTCATATCCCGACAGGTTTTAAGCTTATCAAAGTTCCTGATAACACACTCAAGGGGGCTGAGGGCACGTTCTTTTTTTTATTCATTCTAACAAATTTTCCTTGGGCTGAGCCCATGTGTCTAATCTCTCACACTACTTGTACAGCCTGTTGGGCCACAAGAGATCCACCAATTCCTCTTGCGATGTAAAGACTTCTGGTTAAAGGCTTAACAGCCTTGCAGGGGCCTACGGGTGGCTGGACAAGTATCACGCCTAGGCCTACTCAACAGCGGGAAATATATAAGGAGCAGCCACAAACCTCAAATCACACATCACTCACAACTCGTTGGAGCATGAGAGTACAAAGTTAGCGCCCCTTGTTGTCAATGCTGCTAACATCGGATGTTCTTCCTTTGACAAAATATGAAAAGGCAGCAACTCTCTGTATAAGCTGTGTGGTATTTTTAGAGTTAAATTAGATGATGCCAGGAGGGGAGGAGGAAGAATGTGTGTGGGGATTAGTTAAGATAAGAAACCGTGGGCTATAGAACAGAAGGGAGACGTTGCCCTTCAAACTGATTGGAGAATGTGATTTATGACTGAAAATTAGAAGAGGGGATTATGCTGGAATATTATGTGCTCAGGAGAGGGGAATTCAGATCTTGGCATCCACCATGCTGTGTCGAAAATTTGTTTCATAATTAAAGACTTTTTAGGATGAACAATGCCTGGAAATTCTTTAACTGTTTCATTAGTTGGAACCATGACACTTGCTTTCTAAGCAGCCCCATCACCCCCAAACATGAGGGGGAGCCCAGGTGCAGCTGATGCAAACCCTTCCGTCCAGCTCTGGTCAACGGTGGGAAATGATTCAAGAAAACAGACACACTGTTACACACATATACAAACACTCCCCTGGGCAAGCCTGTGCAATAAAGCAATATAAGCTTACCTTATCTTCAGCCCTCCTGAGTATGCAGGAACCAAGTGAAGGCAACGACCACAACAAAAAGAAAAAAAATCAGTTCCTGTGAAGAGTCAAGAAGGGGGGCACCTCCAGGAAACCCCAGAGCGCGCTTGGTGCCATTCCCCTTCCCTAGGACTGAGCACCTCTCCTGCACAAGAGCTCACCAAAATTGATATGCATTTTTTTTTTCTTGATAAAAAATATAGGAAACCAGAAGTTGCCTTCAAGAGTTACGCGTTTATTCAGCTGAGTAAAGACAGGCTTCTCTAAAAAGAGAAAAGCTCCAAATATCGAAAAGGCCTTATTTTTATGCCTACTTTGATTACATAAGTTATGCTCCAGCAAAGCTGACACACATAAGATAGAGACTTTGCCCTTTAAGGTTGGCACACTGTAGATAAAAAAGGAAGAAAGCAGAAGTAGCTAATATGTTCTGTTTTGGTGGTTTGGGTGTTTCCAAACATGACATGTTCCCGGGTGGGGTAAAATATTGGGTGTTTCCCCAAGGCACCACATGTTCCCGGGTGGGGTAGAATATTGGGTGTTTCCTTTGCTGTCTTTTCATGACCTTGCAATCATGGGTCTGCAAGTAGCCAGAGAGAGTGGGGCCATCTGGATGTATTCACAATTGATACTGTCCCCTAAGTCCTGGTCATTACACAGATACGCGCGCACACACACACACACACACACACACACACACACACAGTCTGATTCCATAACATAGAGATAAATTAGTTCACCAGTGACATACCTCTGGTTTTCCTAGATTACCCTGTGCAAGATAAGTGTGCACAAATAAAGAAAAGGGTTAACACACACACACACACACACACAATGTTTTCATAATGTTATAGTTCACTGGTGAGATATCCCTGATTATCCTAGATTGTGCGCAAAAGGAAAAGGAGTTAACACACACACAAACACACACACACACACACACACAATCATACACACAAAGAGTCTGATTAAATAACATAGATAAATTAATATACTAGTGATATGTCCCAGATTATCCTAGATTATCATGTGCAAGCTAAGTATGAAAAAGAAAGGAAAGGTTAGCATACAAACACACACACAGGCAGACATACACACACAGAGAGAGAGACAGAAAGGGGGGGAGAGAAAGGGAGAGAGAGAGGGAGAGAGAGAGAGAGAAATTCTACTACATAGAGATAAACCAGTTCATTGGTGAAATCTCCCTGGTTATCTTGGATCATCGTGTGTGCGGATCGCAGCCTTGGCCTTTAGCACCGGCATCGGTACCTAAATTGGACGTCATTCATGGGTTGTATCACCCCAAACCCGTAGCGGGTCTTGTTGGTGGGAGGGATCTCCTCCTGCTGATTGATCAGTTCCAGATCAAAACAAGCCAGCATCAGGAAGGTGAAAAGCTTGATTTCATTGGTGGCAAAGTAGCGGCCGGGACACATGGAGGTCCCAGCTCCCCAAGGCATGGCGAAATATTTCACCTTCTCGCCATTCTTAAAAAATTCCTTTTTGTTGCCGTTTTGGCTGAGGAAACGGTCATATTTGAAGACCTGGGGATCCGGATGGATTTCAGGGTCCATGTGGATCGAGAGGTAAGGAAAGAGGGCAATTTTGTCACCTTTACGCAACAAGTAGGACTTTCCATTGTGGAGCTTCAAATCCATGTCTTGTAAAACCAACCGGATCAACAACGGCACTGTCACTAACCTCAGGGTCTCTTCCAAAGCGCTGTCCAGGATGGGCGTTTGGTTTAGCATCTCCTTGGTGACATTCAAGGGCTTCTCACGGGAGGTCACCTCTTGGCCTGACTTCTTCACCACCTCCAGGATCTCCTTCTTGACCTCTTCCATGGCTTTGGGATGCTTCATCAGGTACTCCAGAAGCCAGAAGGAAGCTGGACTGGTGTTACTTAGAGCAGTATAAAGGAGCAGGAACATGTATCGGTCTCTCATCTCTTCTGAAATCCCACTTTCGGCCAGCTGTTGAGCCTGGTCACTGATCCACCGGCTGGTGTTTTCCTTCTGGTAGATGTTCTTCACCGAAAGCACCTGCCAGAAGTAGTTCCAGAGGTTCTTCACTTGGCTCCACTGCCATGGAGTCAACAAGGAGTATAACAGGCGTGGGATGAGTTTGTCGTATTTGCAAAATTCAATGTATATCTCTTCGGTGTGATGCTGGTCTCTTTGTTCCGCCTTTTCTTTCTGATTTTCACCTTTAGCTGGTTCGGTGCCATACAAAGCCAGATACCCAGCTCGGAAGACCGTGTTGTTACAGAAGTGGTACAAGCCGTCTTCTTTCCAGGACTTTGGATCCTCTTTGGAGGTTTCTTGCCATTGAAGTAAGACGGCCTGTAAAGCGTCCATCAAGGCTTCGGTTATCACCACCAGGCCCTCTCCCTTCAGATGTTTTGCGCTGGAGACTTTGAGGATCTTGTGAGTGTCATGGGAGGCCTCAAATTGAAACAACCTGAGAACCAGCTCAGCTGCAAATGAAATAAAATCCAGTTTGCTTTGGGCTTCCGTGAAGATGCTACCGAAAGACAACGGGTCCATCAAGAAGGTGAAATACTGTCCTGCAATCAAGGTGGTGAAGATATCTCCATGTTTCTTCTGCATGCTTTGCAGGAAATCCAGACTGTCACTTCGGAAGTGTAATCCATGTCCAAGCCAGGGAATGAGTCCTATGTCCAAAGGGGGTTCATTGGGTCGTTTTTGGCGGAAGAAGCCCATGAGGTAGAAGGCCCCAAAAAGACTGACCACCAAGGCAACCACGACTGCCACCCAGAAGGACATCTTGAAGAGTGTGTGTAGTTCAAGCACAAACAGCCTTTTAAACATACCGGCTCTTAGGAGAAAAATAGGCGTTTTCCCAGGGAGGAATTTTGCTTGATGAAACAAGCCAGGAATTGCAGTTAACCCTTGACGGGGAAAAAAAGGAAGGGAGAAAACCAACCTCAGTCCTTGAATGGGGTTACTCTGTCCAGTTAGACCGGTAGCAAGAAGAGCTGTTCCCTGTTTAAAAACAGTGGCCGCAACAGTGGAACTGGTTAAGCAATCAAAAGACTTAGTCCTAGGTCATTCCCTCACCTTACAAGTTCGCCATGACATGTTTGCTACACTGCTAAAATCATAAACACAAGCTATCACACAACAGCGCCTAGCCCAATACAAAGCAGAGTTATTTATATCAGAGCACATTTCCTTTTTAAAAAATTTAATTTAGTTTTATTTTTAACCAACAAAACAAAACAAAACAAAGCAAAACATAACATGCATACACACACAGTATATACTCCCCCCTTTTTTTACAGTGATTACGTAACGCTAATTTTCTATTATTTACATTTCCCCCCTTATTCTTCTTTAGAATATTTGTCCTTATTGCCCCGTTGTTTCTTATTTACATTTTTCTTCCTTCATATTCTACTTCTTACTAAGAATAACTCATATTATTATTATTATTATACATTATTATACACATATTTTCACTTTTGACCTTTCCATATTTATTGTCCTCTATTATTTCTAGTCTCCAACCAGTCATACCACTTGTTCCATGTTATATAGTATTCTGTGTCTTCCTTTTCTTTTATCTCTTTTGTTAATTTGTCCATCTCAACACAGTCCAGGATTTTTCTTATCACTTCTTCCTCTGATGAGAAAAATTCTCATTTTTCCAGCACTGTGCATATGCTATTCTTGCCGCCGTTATTATTCGATCCATTTTCTTATTGTAGTCCAGTATTTTTTCGCAACTGGGCATGTCCACCATAAATGATAATATGTTCCATGTACTTTTTTACATTTCCAGCATGTTGGCGAATTGTTCTGGAACATCTTGGCAAGCTTTGCTGGTGTAAGATGCCATCTGTAAAACATCTTCAACTGGTTTTTCTTGAATGCCGCCGACATAGTCAATTTTATAGTTATTTCCCATATTGTTTCCATTTCTCCAATTCTATTTGTATCCAAAAAATTTTGCCCATCTAATCATTGTGTCTTTGACAACCTCGTCTTCCATTTTATATCTCAATAGGTATTTGTATAAATTGCTAATTAATTTTATTTCTGTTCCATGTATAATTTTATCCAATTCTTGCAGCTCTTTTTGTATTTCATATAATTTTTTGTCCTCTTTATATTTAGATTGAATTTGTGTAAATATCCACCAGTCAATCTCTCTGCCAATATCTTGTTCCAATTCTTGTTTTGTTTTCAGATTTCCTTCCTTGTATCTAATTATCTTGTTTATATCCAGTAGGTTTGGGTATTTCAGAGCTTCTGTTGGGGATAACCACATTGGAATTCTTATATACTGTTTTTGTTTTATTTTTTCCCAAGTCTGTAGAAATGCATTCCTAACTATGCAGAGCACATCTCCTTTGAGCGTTGCAATACCCTAAACCCTTCCTGCCTGCTGAATTGTCAGCTGAACCCTTGCACAACGGCGTACACTTAGTACAGGATGCTGAATTGACTCGCCCAGATCTGACTGACACCCTCTTGCAAAACCCAGAATTAGAACTATTCACCGATGGTTCCTCTTACAAGAAGGAAAGGGAATTACAGGGGCGGCCGTCATTTCCCTCCATGAAACAGTTTAAGCTTGTGTGCTGCCACTGCGCTACAGTGCACAGGCACCTGAGCTAATTGCATTGAGAAAAGCGTGTGAGATGGCTGAGAACCAGTTTACCAATATATATACAGGCTCCAGATATGCTTTTGGAGTCTGTCATGTGACCAGTTCTCTGTGGAAGCAAAGAGGTTTTTTTAACATTGCATGGCCAACCAATTGCCCACGCTGACCTTATATCTGATCTACTTAAAGCCATCCAGTTGCCTTCCTCCCTTGCAGTCATCCACTGTAGAGCCCACCAAAGAGATGACTCCAGCATCACGAAAGGTAACCAATTCTCCAATGCCACAGCTAAATGGGCTGCTACCCAACCCGTGCCAGTGTCTACCCAGCAATGCACTTAGAAAACAAAATACAATACCTAGACTGAAAGAAAAATGCAAAGCAACCTATCACGATGGTTTCTGGTGGGTCCCTGATGGTAGACCCATAGCCCCTAGGTGTCTACTGTGCTTAATCTGCCAGCAACTGCATTCTAAAGGACACTGCGGGACACAGGCAATGGTGGGCACCATAAGGAGGATATGGTATGCTCCAGGAGTGTACAGTGAGGCTACCTGCTTAGCCAGAGGATGTCAAACATGCCAAGAAAACAATTCATCCTCCAAAAAGGCAATCCACCAAAGGGGAAGGCCATGGGCCCAATGCTCCTTTGAAAAGCTTCAGCTGGACTACATACAACTTCCAAAGGCTAGTGGTTACCAGTATATACTGGTGTGCAGGGACCAGTTAATCCATTGGGTAGAGGTATACTAATGCTGCCATGCCATCATGCCACAGCCCTGGAGACAGTTAGACACTTACCAAAAAACTTAGTGCCCAGGTTCGGGGTCCCAACTGTCTTAGATATGGACAGAGGGACACATTTTGTGTCACTAGTTGTCACCTATGTTCTCCAGGCACTTGGAATCAGAGAGGATCCCCTCACACCCTCACTCCTCAGGGGGCATAGAACATCAAAACAGAGAGTTAGACCCTCCTGGATAAGCTATGCCACGAGCCACACCTACTCTGCCCCCAAGTATTATCCATAGCCCTATTCCACTTTAGAACCTGGCCAAGACAGGATCTGGGCATCTTCCCCTTCGAATTATTGTTTGGTCTCCCACCTGACACACTAAAAAGTCTGGACCCACACTCCTTTTGCCTAGAGAGAGGGGAAGTGGTCCTATCTTCTTATCTTATAGCCCTACAATAGCAGCTCCGGGAGTTGTGGAAACAGAGTGCCTTGACGCAGACCCTACCATTGGAAGAAAACCTGCATCCTTTCAAGCCAGGCGACTGAATCTGGATAAAGGTCTATATCAGAAAATCACCACTGCAACCTAAGTGGGCCACCCCCTTCCGAGTCCTGTTGACAACACACACAGCAATAAAAGTCGCAGAAATAAACTCCTGGATCCATTGGACACATATAAACCTGCGGTTGGTGGACCACAGTTCCAATATTGAAGCAACACCAGAAGTACCACCTATAACACTCAGGAGAGGCCCAGAGACCGAAGAGTGGACCTTGAAACACCTCTTTGAAGCTGAACATAATGGGGAAGAAGACGGGCAAAACATCTGACTCCAAAATTGTAAAATTTTTTAAAAGAATGTATTGTATATTCACATGTATTGTAAACAAGCCTCAACAATCATAATTGATTCAACAAGGTGATGTCACACTAATCAACACAAATGACACAACCATCTTAGGAGAGGACAAAATGCCATCAGAGACGTGAGGAACCACGATGGCATCACGATCAAAGAAGCTGGAGAAGGAAGGGCAGCTGTCATCATAAATCAAGTTGATTTTGTCAAGGGAGCTGAGAAGGAAATCACTTATATATAATTTCTGTTGACTTCTGCCCTCCAATCCCATAACAACATGCAGGTGGTCCTCGAATTATAATGGTTCACTTAGTGAACGTTTGAAGTTACAATGGCATTGAAAAAAGTGACTTGTGACCATTTTTCACACTCATGACTCTTGCAGCATCCCCATGGTCATGTGATCCAAATTCAGGTGCTTGGCAACTGACTCATACTTATGATGGTCACTGTGTCCCGGGGTCACGTGATCCCCTTTTGCAACCTTCTAACAAGCTAAATCCACAAGGGAGCTGGATTCACTCTACAACTTAACAACTGCAGGGATTCAGTTAATAACTTTGGCAAGAAAGGGAATAAAAATGGGTCAAAATTCACTCAACCTATGTCCTACTTAAGAATGAAATTTGGGGCACAGTCTTAGTCGTAGGTCGAGGACTACCTGTACTGGAGAGAGTGGCCGGTAATCATGTAATCCTCGCATTACAACCAGTTGCTTAGCGACAATTCAAAATTATGACCAACCTGAAAAAGGGGACTTGTGACCCCTTGTTTGAAGTTCTGATATACAACCTCCTCTAGGGTCATATGAGCGAAGATGGGTGCATTTATGACTGTTTGCAGTGGCATATGGTCACGGGGATGTTTTACAATAGTTATGCTAAAAACCAGAAAGAAAGAAAGAAAGAAAGAAAGAAAGAAAGAAAGAAAGAAAGAAAGAAAGAAAGAAAGAAAGAAAGAGAAAAAATAAAAGAAAGAAAGAAAGAAAGGAGGGAGGGAGGGAGGGAGGGAGGGAGGGAGGGAAGGAGAGAAGAAGGAAGGAAAGGAAAAGAAAGGAAAGGAAGGAAAGGAAGGGAAGGGAAGGAACGAATGAATGACACATTTTTAATGGATGTTGAAATACTGCAGATCTACATTGTCCACAAAGTGGAATTCAGGTCATCAGGGACTTGATTGCTGATGTCAACACACACAACCTATCTTGCCAAAGTGCAAAGCATCACTTTGTAACCACTCCAATTGTTTCATCTTGATAAAGAACATGCCCTTGTGAGTCAATGGAAAAGTGATGGGCACAAAAGTAATCACTCAACAGGCAACAAACATGACTTTAAGTGATCTGGAAGGCTTTCTTCACCTTCTCTCTCTTGAGTTTCTGGTTGATTTGAGGACCTTTTCATCACCTGCAGCAAAGGGGAAAAAAGGTTGAAGTCCTTGGTGGTCTCTGAGCTTGATTGTTTTCTTGCAGATGTTTCATGACCCAACTAGGGAACATCATCTGGGTTAGAAGGAAGTGGGGTTTGAAGTAGTGACAATGAGGAGGAGGAGGAGAATGATGACGATGACAACTGTGGGGTTCTTAGTGGTCTCTGAGCTTGATTATTTCCTGCAGACATTTCATGACCTGACTAGGGAGCATCATCAGTGCTAGAAGGGCATGTAGTGTGCTCTCATTTTATACACTAGTGATGTCTAATATCAATACTGCTGAGTGTGGACTTGGTGGTTCACTTGATCATAGAAAAGTAAGTCTCATCAGATACCATCAAAACC